AAGCGGCCTCCATCAGAACTTAGGATATACTCTGAGACAACTGAATGCCTCCTCATCCCAAGCGTAAAAACTTAAACATTAGGATATACTCTGAGACAACTGATGGTCTCTCATCCCATATGACATCAATATCGTACTCAATGTGATACCCATTCAAGGTCCCCACCTTTCTTCTTTTGAAAACCATAAGTGTTGTTCTGTAGCTGTATTCACAAGCTACATAAAAATATAAACAAATATACTAAGTACTATGCTCGTATACTCAATAAGGTTTAACTCTTACTTATCCGAATCTTAAAGATATTCAATAAGGTTAATATGTCTCAAATAAATATTAAGTCATCTAACATCTTAACTTTTTCTTAAACTTTTACTCAAGGTTAATTACTTAACCTTATATAAATCATGTCTTCAAAATCATAGATATTGGTTTATACTCGCATGTCACTTAAATAACTCAAATGTGAAAATACTAAATTTCACATTAAACTTGATTGAATACTCAAAACATGCTTATCTTTTACCAACATCCTATTCATGATTCATAAACTCATCTTGATCTTTTACTCAATCAAATACTTAATTCATTATACATCATATCTCCCAAATTTTAGATATTGGCTTATATTAAATTTTCGCTTAATTAACTTGAAAGTGAAAATAAACTCAATTCATACTTCAACTTTTAATCATAACATTTAATCATGATATTAATATGTCATACTTAATACAATCTTTATAAGATTATAAACTCAACATATTAAACTAAAACTTTGCCAAATTTCTCATTACGTATATGAGAATTGATCATAATAATCTCACTTTAACAACTTGATCATATCATGAATATTCTTGCATATATACTCATTTTTACATATATGCCTTGTAATTATCATAACTCATTCATTTCTCATCTTCAAATCATGAAATTTAACAGTCATAATCTCAACTCATAATTAGACATGTCATAAAAATTTCATAATTTTATCATGCATATACATCAAGTTATTAGAATTTAAAGTCATAGTGAACATAAACTTTATCTTGCACGTTCAACTTCAAAAATTCATAACTCAAGCTATACTTTGCCAAATCACTTAATTCCTATTCTCATGTACTTCTCTTTTACATAAGAATCATTCATTTAAATCATACTCTTCCAGCTTATTCATATCTTTATCAACATCTCATCAAATCAAGCACATATATCATATAATTGATCTTGAACAACTTTAACTCTTGGTATTCATAGAATCAATTATAAACTCAACTTCTAAATCATGATATACATACTTATAAACATGTAAAGTCATTATCAAAACATGAACTTAAGCATATAACTTTAAGATAAGTAAATTACCTCCTTCTTGCTAGAATAAAAACTTGATTCTTTACTTCAAATTCTTCACTTCTCCACAATTTCTACTACTTATCTCCCTTACACTCTTATATAACTTTTGGTACTTAACTTTGGTGTAAGAACTCTGATTTTTAGGCCTCTATTTATAGGCATAAATTGGCAAGACATCATAATGGAGTGAAGAAATGAACATAATAAACAATTTAAAGTTATAAACTTAATTAATCATAAACTATTTTATGATTAACTCGTATACTCATCAAAAACATAATTAATCATCAAAAACGGTCTCTGGTTGATATCACAATTGGATTCTCAATGATCAAACCTTAATGTCGGTCACACGACTCGTGAAAAAGCCAAAGCTAACTTTCATTCTTATCTCCTCCCACACGACTCGTGTGGCTTCACACGACTCGTGTGGCTAGTTCCTTGAAAAACTCTTAATTTCGAACTTATAACTGCATATCTTGGCCTCGAAATTACCTAAATCTTGGAACTAAAACTGTTACTTTCTTAATAACTGAGAGGGATATTACACTATTTATCCAGACTTATAGTTATATACATGAATAAAGAAAAATGTACGGGATATTATAGTACGTGACCCGTGCGAAGCATGAGATATATTTATTTGGAGAATATTATATTATAAGATGAAATATTCAGTAAAAGTTTATAATACGCAAGAAAATTGTACAATGTTCAATAAAAGTTTTATAATATTCAAGTGGAGTCTTAAAGTCTCTTGTACATTAAGACTAATGGCAAAATAATATTTTAATCAATGAGTTTCTTTTCCTTGTAGCCAAATTGTGAATGTGATTTGAGGAGTACAACAAATCGATATATAGCTGACTTGCTTTTTTCATTGTAGTTTTTTTTCTTTTTTTTTTTTATAATGAATTTAAAGATATTCTAAAATATAGTAAAAATTAAATTATTTTATTACAATTAGGAATTTTACTAAATATAAACTCTCAATCTATGGTGTTAATCAATGTTTAAGTCTAAAAAATTAGGAATTTTCACCTCTTTTAATCAACGTTTAAGTCTAAAAAACAATAGAGTTATTATAAGTTTTTTTTCTACATCTTTTAAAACATTAAATATGAGCATGTTAGGGCTAGCTTGTAAAATAATTTATATATTATCTCACTAAAACATTTATACTAATAAAAATTTAATTTTAGCATATAAATTTATCCCTTGATATAAGAGAAAGTAACAGTTTTACTTATTGTTGTTCACCATATAATATTTAATTATTATTTTATTATGTAATAAAAAAAATTGTTAAATAGTGTAATAGAATTGTTATAAAATTATATGATTTTTTTTTACAATATGGATTTAATATTTTTTTTATGATTTGATAATATAAACAAATCTATACTTAACTTTGACAAATAAAACAAATAAATACTTTAGTAAGTATTTAATGTATATACTAAATAGGAATATATTTGGTATAATCAAATACCAAATATAATCAAATAAGTCAAAGTGTACATTTTTATTTGGTATTTGATTTTTTTATTATTAAAATCCTTTTATTATACTTACCTTTTTAAAATAAAACAAATAAATAAATTAATTAAATAAATAAAATATTATAATACCAAAATAGTAATGGCATTTAATGCAGTTGACTTTTCTGGATAGTAAATGTAGTAAATAGAATCTATATATATATATATATCTATATAATAAGAATTACCATTTATCAAAAATAGTAAGTCAATCTTTGGTCAAAACTGATCAACATTAATTACACGCCATTTATAGTATCTTTAATATTTTTATTAATAAAAAACGGATAGCATTAAATGTTATCCTTAAAATGAGGAGTTTGTTACTTTTTTATTTTCAATAAAGCGGGCTGCTATTTAAATTTGGTCAACTGAATATTTGTGATGGTTTGACACGATGTGCATATCAAAAGCTGATAATGCACGGGCTGCATCAATTAAATTTGGTTATTGGTCACAAGAAGCTATTTTTAAATTTGAATAATAATGTACGTCACGATTGCTAATTCAATTAAATATCGGCCAATTATATTCTCCAAATTTAAAATCAGATATTCGGCTAATACAATTGCTTTGCTTGGCAGCTTTTTGTAATAAAAAAAATTACGACTGATATAATAATAAAAAAAATTATGTGTTATTTTTTCTAACTATAAAATATACTTTTGTATTTTCAAAATCAATTTTTTTTTTTTTTATAAAATCGGCTAACATATGTTGTTTTTTTTACGGAAACGATAAAGACTAACACATGTTTTGATTAGCAGATTTTATTTAAAAAAAAATTACGGCTAATTTAAGGGTAAAAAAATTATTTGTTTATTTTCTTTTGAAAACATTTTTCTAACCATCAAGTCGGGCAGTTTCAATTAAAAGAATAAAGTTGTGGCTGATTCAATTGTTTTGTTTGACAATTATTTATAATGAAAAATAATACACGGGTCTAATTTTGAAACGATCAAAATATTTATGGTCTTTGTATAAATCAGAGATTCGAAATAAGAATAACCTCCATATTTAAATTGTTTTAATTTTAAAACGTGATGTATACAAGATTTAGATAGATTTATCACATATCATCCTCTAAATTAATGATTTTATTTTTTTTTAAATTTCAAAGTACCAAATCAATTTTTTATGGTTTTTGTTTAAATCAGAGATTCAAAATATCTTAATCTCCATATTTAAATTGTTTTAATTGTAAAACGTGATGTTTATAAGATTTAGATAGATTTATCACATATCTCCTCTAAATTAATGATTTTATTTTTTTCTAAATTTCAAAATACCAAATCCTAAAGTTGCGACTGATTTAATTATTAAACGATATTTTGCAATCATAGATTCAGGTTATCTTCAAATTCAAAATTTAAATTGCCGATATGTAAATAAATTTGGACATATTAAATACATATGATCCCTAAAATGAAAGATTTTATTCCACTAAAAGACATAAAAGATGAACTTAAGATGCAAAATTTATTATGAACGTGTGATAATACAATTTTACATGCTATGAAAGTTATATTGTTTTTTACATGCTATGAAAGTTATATTGTTTACACGTGCATCGCACGAGTACGCACTAGTCTTTTTTTATATAAATATAAATAGATTGTATAATATGAAAATAGTAATGCAATAAATGTTGTTGACTTTTCTTTATACTAAATCTGGTAAATGGTATACTTTTTAATATAAGTATAGATAAGAGCAGTTTTTCACCTTTTTCCATTAAAACTCGACATAAGAGCAGTTTTTGTTTTCCAAAAAAATCTTATCTCACTAAGAAGGGATCACTTCCTTCCCAAATCAAAAATCCAAACAAAAAGGAAACTAATACAAGCTTTATAATAATATTCCAACAGTTCTGTTGGGGGTTGGGGGAGTATCACAATAAACAAATAAAATTCCAAAATAGGCCCCCCCATTCAGGACAAGGATCACCCCATAAACAAATCGCCCACAAAACATAAAACCAAACAGAATGATACTAAGAGTAATAAGTGTAGAAATTTTTCTTAAAGAAAATAGAAACCTTAACCAGAAACTACCATTTCTTAAAGAACAGCATCATTAGCTACACATTACCACTTCTTCTCAAACTCTCACTCTCCACGCCCCGAACGAGACTGCCTCCTAGAAGAAGACCCAGACAAATGTCGTCTACTACTACTACTACTTCTTCTACCAGACCTCACTGGAGACCCAGTCCTCACACTATACCCACCCCAACTAGGCTGCTGCTCTTGCCTATACTCCTCACCGTAACTCGACCTTCTCAAGTTCTCATTTTCCCTCCTCGCCCTTGAACCACTACCCCTATCATAACGCGATCTCGACCGCACATCAATTTCCCTGTTCGACCTCGACACTGAGGTACCGGAATCCACCACATCCTCCTCCTCCTCCTCCTCCGTGTACGACGAGCTCGTGGACAAGAACGAAAGCCACCCGTCGCCAAACATCTCCTCCATCAGCCCATCCTCGATTTCCGGGAAGTCAAACAGCCTGTCATCATCCCAGAGCTCGGGCTCAAACTCCATATTATTATCCGATTGGTACACAAGAGCAGCAGCATCCTCCATCTCCAGCCTCTGCTCCAGCTCGCTCCAGTCAGCCTTACGGGCCTGGCTGGGCTCGAGAGGGCGGGCCGACGGGTGCTGGGCCCGCGCGTGCTTCCTCAGGTCGGCGTAGGTCCCGGCGAAGTCGCACGTCTCCAGGGAGCAGTTTCTTGGTTTGGAGTTCATGAGGTGGCGGGCGGGGCCCACGACGCGGAAACCGGAGACGGGGCCGCGGCAGAGGGGGCAGGACAGGTGGCGGGTTTTGGTGAGGAGGAGCTGGTCGAGGCAGTTGGAGTGGCGGTAGCTGGTGTCGCAGACAAAGGGGCGGCAGCCAGTTTTGTGGGAGGAGCAGAGGAGGAGCACGGCGTTGTGGGGGTGGTCCATGCAGATGGGGCACACAGTGTCGTTCCACTGTTTTTCCTCGTTTGAGATGTCGATTTCGGGGTCTGCGGATTTTTTGGAGCCGCGCGAGTAGGGAGAGGCCGTGGCACGGTCGAGAGATAAGGAGTTCAACCTTTTGTCTTTCGGCATTTCTTTCTGTCTTGTTTAGTTCTTCACAAATGGCTCTGGAATAGAGAGATCTATACTGTTTTGTTCAGGAAAATGCAGGAGATAATGGGCAATTACTTATCAGGTGAAGATAAAAACGCTAACCGAGTGATTATTATTATTATTATTATTATTGTGAAACACGAGGTGATTTGCAGATCCAGCCCGCCCGATCTAGACTTTAAATGGGAAGGGGGAAAATCAATCTCAACTGAGTTTATGAACAACCAAAATCTCGATATGACCGAGGACAACCAAAACAGACTACAAGCAATCATGAATTGTACTCTAAAACCTAAAAGATGAAATTAAAAATAAACAGTAAAACATGAAGGTATCCCTCAAATCATATAATTCACAATCAATGAAAAAACAACAAATTATCAAGCACATCTAACCGTAAATCTCGAGCCACAAAACTCAACCAACAATTTTAACCTCAGCATAAACCTAAGGACACGAATCTTACAGAAATTTACACGCAAAAATAAACTAAATTAAACTATGAATTTGAATTTCTCAGGTAAAGGCACAAAGAACGACAGAGGATCGAACACTTGCGCATACCTGGGGCCGACCCGGCCCGATAAGGAGGTAGGGCTCTCGAAGAAAAGTCCAGAAGGTTGGAATTCAGGACTGCTGAGCTGCTGTCGTAATGAAGAAAGAAAATTGAATGGAATTAGGTTGAAGGAAAAAGCAATATATAGTAAATTGTTTGTAACAATTACCCTTCGTTGTGCCCACGCGCCGCGCTTGGTGGTCTTGCGCAAATACCAGCGCCTCCCCTCTTTTTATTTTTAAATAAAAATAAAATGTAAAATTTAAATTTCACAGTTTTTTTTTTTAAACATGTACAGTAAACAATTGGAATATATTACACTTTTATTAAAATATAGTGGTATTACTCCATTTGCATAATATTTCGTTTGAGTGAATTCTACCTGACACGGTTTTATCAACAATGGAAGTTTTTATTTACACCATAAAATTTCAAATGTACTTATAATAAAGAAATTTCTTTAAAAATAAATTATATTATCACTTTTAAATATCATTTATGATGGTGTTATAATAACGAAAGTGCTTTAAAAATAAATTATATTATCACTTTGTATATATAAACTTAAGTCAAATTGCTATAATTCTTTTTTATATATTTTTGAACAATTATTTATAACTCAATTTGTGTAATCTTGCAATAATCATTATTATTATAAAAAATTGTTTTCCTTATACTTTTACAGAAATGTTATTTTCAAGAAAGTATACAATGTTATAAAGGAAAGAAAGGGAAAAAATTCTATAGAATTTCATTTTTTTTAGTACCTAAAAGTGTAAGTGAAAAATTACACACATTATTTCAAATAAATGTGAAACCTTTCTAAATAGATATAGATAGATTTGTGAACATAGGGCTAACTTCAACCTTGCTTTAGAACACGATTCTAGCACAAGAGTTGTATTTTGCTCCTCTCCAACCCGATGCCAAAACTCTACTTCACAACAGAGTTATCTACGGTGACGCGCTACATGTAGCACGACACTGTTCACTATCTCCAGGGCGGATGTAGCATTGGTCTGGGCTGGGCTGAAGACCAGGCCTTTCATTTTTTATTTTTTTTATGTATTAGCTTTGATTTTGTCTTTGGATAGTGTCCTTAGTCTACCCAAATAAATCAACCCACTTAAAATTAACTCACTTTATTAAGGCGAAATTTTTAACAAATCACAAGATTTTAAAATTATTACATTCCTACTATATGTGTGTTTTTATTTGTAGATATACCTAAAAAATGCATTTATTTAGGATGAATACAAAAGATCAGTTACCAAATTAATACCTTCCCTACAATCACGCCATTAGATTATTAAACTGAGAAAAAAAAAAGGAAGTCTATATTTTCTACTACTTAGGAAGCTGTTCAGATCAAATAGAAATGATTAGTTTTTCAAACGTACTGCTATACAGAAAATACACGATCCTTTCGTAATATATAATGAATATACTGAGCATATACGACATATACACGCAACATATACTGCCAATTGTAGTTACGGGAACATATATTGAAAAATATACTGTATCTAAACGCAACACATCCACAACATAATCTAGTTTAGTACAAATAAATTAAATAGCCATCACCATTTTACAAAAAAAAAAATTAAATAAAAATAGAAGAAAAAACTTGAGTTTTTTCAACAATTCATTGAAAGGGCTTTTCACCCACCGTCCTCCTCAAGAGTCTGATAGCAGCCCAAAAAACACTCACAAACTCATAGTTGTATATATACAAGCCAAAAGCTCAAAATCACAGCGACAAATATGCCACACTCAAATCCCAGATGCGCCGTTGTTATCGATCGTCTGATCTGCCACATCCCCAGAGCAACTGCCGCCGGAGCCCTATGACGCCTCCCCCTTGGCTGGCCTCGGGTACTCCGCATCAGCCACGGGCCCCGGCCGGCACCAGCGCTCCCTTGAACAACTCCCTTGGCATCAGGACTTTGTCCACCTCGAAGATCGACAACGACTGGTTGTCTATTAGCGTGTGCCTGATCTTGGCCGTCACAATTCTCGTCACATCGGTGCCGTCGTTTTTCACCGTAAAAGCGAACTTATTGGTGTCTAGGTGCCCAACGTGTTGGTCAGACCATTGATGTAATTAGATTGCAAATTTAATATAATTCCAAATACAAAACTTAATTGTTAGTATAATTGCAAATAAAATAAATAATGAATAAATGTGCAAATAAAATTGATTTGAATGGTAGGTGGTGTAATTTTCTCCTTTATTAACTTAATTTTAAAATACCAACCTAATAAATAAGTCCACATAAAATTAATATACTTTATTTACTTATACTCACCAAATAATATATTATATGACATTGATCTTTGAAATACCATTCGATCTTTTCATTGACCCTTTTTCGCTTACTCTGTTATGACAAGCAGAACAAGAGCTTATATTATGTGAATTGCGAACATTAGGGTGGAAATTTCTACCAAACAAGAAATTTTTTCTTCTTTAAAGGTAAGTTTATATTTTTAAAATCCCTATTAGATGTTTTTCTATTTGTATAATTGTCATTGTCTCTCTTTTCATTTTAAACTTTAGTTGATCTATTTAAGATTTTAATAGGGCTTGTTAGGATCACTTAATAAAGTGTATATTAGATTATTAAATTTTGAGAGAATCTGATTGGGAAGCATTTTTTGAGGATGTTAAAGTTTTTTACTCAACAAATGGCATTAATGTTTCAAACATAGATGATTTTTATAAGGTTAGTCGTTCTTGTGGACATACCACAATTCAACGTTATTACCGTTAGAATCGTACAGTTAATATTCATGATAAAGAAATCTTATTTTATGGCTCAGATTAAAAGTTGTGGATTTTCTTATTTGCAATTTCAACAGTACGATAAAAAATCAAGATTTTACGACTCGGATTAAAAGTTGTGGATTTTCCTATCTACAATTTCAATCGTACAATTTAAAAATAAAGATTTTACGACTCATATTAAAAGTTATGAATTTTCTTATCTACTATTTCAATCGGCGATCAAGAATCAAGATTTTAAGGCTCGGAGTAATTGTTGTCCTTATCTACAATATCACGAATGTCAGTCATGCGATTCTTATCTATGAAAATCCGAATTTTACGGCTTAGATTAAGAGTTTTAGATTTCTATATCACTATTTATGTAAAGTTTTTCAAACTAAATTTTCATTTGTTAACTCTTGAATTTTCTAAAAAAATATGAATCCCAATATATTGGTACTTCTTATGCATTTTCTTCTTCAAGTTCATCTTATGATGATCTAGAAAAACTAGTAGATAAATATGATATAGAGAAACATCTCTGATAGCACAATAAATTTAGAACAATAAGTTTCTTGTATGAGAATTTCTTAGAAATCAACAAGTTGGTTGAAGCCATGTAGGTTCGGTTCCTGGGCACAAAAAAAATATATCACGATTGAGAAGCAGCTGCAAATCGTCTTTTTAACGATTATTTTTCTGAAAACCCAAAATTTAATGAAGCCATGCTTAGTAGACGTTTTCGGATGTCTAGAAATTTATTTTTCCGCATAGCAAATGCAGTTAAAAGTCATGTTGATTACTTTTTGTAGCAAAGAGATAAAGTTGGTAGACTCGGATTGTCTAACTATCAAAAGTTAACTGTTGCGCTTTGAATAATAACAAATGTTGTACCAGCATATGCGACAAATGAATACATAAACATTGGGGAGTCCACTGCAATAAAATGCGTGAAGAAATTTTGTCGTGCTATTGTAGAAATATTCGGAGAGCAATAGCTATGATCTCCCAAAGCCAATGACATACAAGACTCTTTTATATAGGTAAGCAACGTTGCTTCTCAAGAATGTTAGGAAGTTTAGATTTTATGTGTCGGCGCTAGAGAAATTGTCTAACGGCTTGGGCAGGTGTTTATACAGAACGTAGTAAATCTCTAACTATTATTCTAGAAATTGTAGCCGATTATGATCTTTGGATATGTCATGCATATTTTGGTATGCCTAGATCCAACATGATATTAATGTGTTAAAGAGGTCCTATTTATTTTTCGACCTTGCTCGAGAAATTGCCCTTCCAGCACATTATGTCATCCAAGGGAAAGAGTACAACATGAGATATTATTTAGCATATAATATATATGCCAATGGTCAACTCTTGTCTAAACTATTCGTGTCCCAATATCCCAAATGATCAACTCTTATCCAAACTCTTCGTGACCCACGTAATAAAAAAAAAAAATATTTTGCAATGAAATAAGAAGTATGCAGAAAGGATGTTGAGCGTGCAATTGAAGTACTCCAAAATTGAATTTGCTATTGTGGCTAATCCTGCCCAATTTTGGAGTAAAATAACTTACAAAATATAATGATTGCATGTATTATGTTGCATATTACGATAATTGAGGATGAACGAGATCTTGATGCACCGATCGAAGCGCAATAGAGGCCTCGATCCCAAATGTTGAAACAGTAGGTAATGAAGCTTCTCAGTTCCAAACATTTGTTGTTCACAAATTCAAGATGAAGAAGCTCGTATCGCCCTTCGTAATGCCCTTCGTAATGCATTGAATGATCATTTATGGGAGAAATTTTCTAATTTAGAAAATTAGATGTAATGTTATTGTAATCGTTTTTCTAGTGGTTATGTTTTTTTCATATTACTAGTGTATATCCCGTGCGATGCACGTAGGAGCTCATATTTTAAACTTTTTTTAGGCTTTATTTTAAATATAATTACTTATATTTTTCACATCTCGTCTATTATGAAAATAAAATAAATACAAACAATGAAAAATATATATTATTAAACACTTCTCATTATACAATATTTTTTTTAAGTAATATTATTAAGCCTTACGGTTTAGATTTTATATTTTTTAAAAGTCAATTATTTCCATAAGAATAATCATACCATTTTAATTTCAAAAAAATTGACAAGTTTGTTAGAGAGATAAATTCAATTAGATAAATGATTAATTAGTTAAGATATTATAGTAATTGTATCATAAAAAATCAGTTAGATAATGTAGATAAAAAATATAATATTAATTAGTTTGTTAGGAATGTGATTATATGAAAATCAAGATAAAATGAAATTTACCCAAAAAATTTTGTTTAAGATTTTTTTTTAAATGTTTGAATTTAAAATTTTAATACTGAATTTCGATTATATCACATAAGGAAAAAATAAATAATAAACATTTATTAATATATTAAAACATGTAATTTTGAATTTCATACAAAGTAAAAGGTATAATTTGTTATCTATAAAATTTTTATTTTTTATTATTCTAATGATTTATACATTAAAGTGAACTTAGGCACGGTATGATTTAATTCATTTGAGGTTGTATCTACCGCATTCCGTCCGCACAAACATGGTATAGAAGGATTAACTCAAAAACTTAATTTGACAAAATAAATTACAAATTCATTTCCTATTTTAACGGATAGATTATCTCCAAAAACAAAAAAGAAGTCAAATATATTGCTAAAATAAAAATCTGTTTTCCAAAATGAAAAGGATCTTAAATTTATCCGATATGGAAGGAAACTCATCCAAAACATATTGAACTCATCCAAATTACAGAATTTCGGAATGAAAAAAATTCAAACTTCCAAAAAAATTTCAAACAAAATATTAGGGGGAAAAAATGATTTGAGGGGTAAAATGAAATAATTTTTCAAGCATTTTTTCTTCTCTATTATATAGTAATAGATTATTCTTCCAAAAATGGTGTTAGGAATATCTGCTGTCAAACTCAAAAGATTATTAGATTACTCATACAGAAATATAGAAAAAAAAATATTTTGAAAGGATACCAATTAAACTAACGGACTTGTAGGGATTTAAATCAAAAAGATAAAGGAAAACATGTGTTACAAAGAGTAAAAAAAATTGGTTAGATATATATTGACTCATTCAATTTTTTTTATAATTCGAAAAAAAAGTGTTTAAGGCGGGATAAACGTGAGCCAAATAAAAATGTTTTAGATAAATATTGACTCATTCAATTTTAGAAGAAATCTCATCCAAAATGAAAAGAATACCATCCAAAAACAGTTTTCCGAAAAAATTTCAAACACAATATTAGGGGGAAAACAGGTTTTAAGCGGGAAAACGAAATGATTTTTTTCGGATTGTTCAAATAATTTTTCTTCTCCGTATTATATAGTAATAGATTATGTAATTTGTATTCCTATTGTTTGAATTTATAAAGCAGTCTTGTGTTGTTATATGTAAACATATTTTTGTTATTTGGGTCAAAAAAATTATAAAACATTTATAAAAAATAATAAATTCAATGTAGAATGAAATATAATGCAAAGGACTGGACCCTTAAATATATTGAGTGCTTTATTTATTTCAAAAAGAGAAAAAGAAAGTGGAAAAAAAAAAAAAGGGAGCAGAAAAAAATCAAAAGGACGTATTCCCGTAATACGTTTTTTAAATCAAATTTAATTAAAAAAACGTATTCTTGTAATACGTGTTATAATTATATTTGGAAATTAAAAATAAATAGTTCCGTTTAAAAGAAAAAGAAATAGAATAAAAAATGATAATTGTAAACCGTATTTCGAAAATACGTTTTATATAACCCCTAAATTGATTTTAGGGTTTCAGAAACCGTATTTTGGAAATACGTTTTAAATATAAAAAAATATATATATAAAAACGTATATTTAAAATACGTTTTACAATTAAATACTTCTAAAACGTATTCCGAAAATACGTTTTACAACTAAATATAAATAATGTTATCTTTTTCTTCTCCATTCATTTGCGCGATCCAACCCCCAATTCCCAATCTCCACAGCAGCAGCGCAGCGCAAGGCGAAAATAAAAAAAAAATAAAAAAAAAAAAACTCGATCCAATCGTCACATCTACGTGAACCGACAACAACAGCACGAACCTCATTTCCGGTTAATTAATTCGAACGAGGTATATTGGCTTATCTCAACTTTTGATATTGTTTAAATTTGTTGGGAAATTGTAATTGTTATAGTATGTTTGAATGTTGTGATGTTTGAAATTGGGAATTGTTAATTGTTTATCGATTATGTGTGTATGTTGAATTGAGGATTGAATTTTTTTTTTTTGTAAATTATCAATTGTGTATGGGTTTGTTATTGTTGGGTTTTCGAATTTAGGGTTAGAATTAGGATTTTCGATTTATTCGAAACATAGATGAATTGTATGTTGTATGTTATTGTTGAATTATGGATATTATGGTTTTGGAGGATTAATCGATTGGGAATATTTTTTATTTTTTTGGAGTAAAAATGGATTTAAAGAATAATTGAATTTTTTGGGTATTGTATTATATTAGACATCATGTGTTGTTGTAATTTGGAAGAATTGAAAGTTTTTTTTG